GTTTGACAACAATACTAAAACTTTTTTTCTTAAAAACCACATTAAAGTTTAATAGCTACAGTGTAACATGTTCCCAAAATGTTTCAAAAAAAGCAATTTGCAGTTTTTTCACTCACAATGCAATGATAGATTTACCAGATTTGACTCAATCTTCTGAAAAATAAATACCTGAATTATTGTTGATTTATTTTGCAGTGTCCAGCAGATGCTAAAGTGTTAGATGGAACACCCTGTAATAACATGACAGTAAGTATTTATAAGTCAATTCATGTGTGAGAGAATTACATGCAGGGAGACATCTTGATAATAGCACTGGTCGTAAGATATACTATAAATAGAACTGATGTTGCCATGGAACATTGTTCAAAATGTATAACAGATTAAATGGTGACAATGCATGCAGATAATAAATAATCTATCGAACGCTGACTGTGCATGCGTTTATTGTGGTTTTTCAGTGATTTTCCCTGAATGATGACATTATTCAATGCCTGACACAACAGCAATAAATTACTGATTAATGTTTTGTTGTTTGTTTGAATCATGAATAAATTATACCTCATGCATATTCATAAGGTGATATTGGTGTAACTTGAATGAATGCTATTGGCTCCCAGTAATTCAACGTTGATATGTGGTGTGTGTTTTCTTGTAACATATACATTTACTTTGTGTACAGCATGTTTTCATATTATGTTCATAACAATTGCATGATGAATAGGGAAATTCTTTTTTCCAATTTACATAGTTTGTGTATGGGAATTGAAGTGTAGTCTCATTGCAATTGGCTTATGATACAGCTGCACATTTAACCGTGCAATTTGATTTTTGGTCAGTGGCGAAGTACTGCTTAGTACAATTCAGAATGTGGTAAAAATCCTAATACTAAAATAATGACAGCTTCAAGGCTTCAGGTCGTTCCTGGCAACCAGTAATTCCTGATGTCTAAATAACACATGGATTATTACATGAAGTGTAAAAAGAAAAAAAGAAGTAAATTAATAACTAATTCAAGATTAAGATTAAAGTGTGCCTCTCGCAGTAAATTTAAATGTCCCTTCTTGAGAATGGTGTGATCAAATCATGCTTTCCAATGCACAGCTGGCAATATTGCTCATTTGGTGTACTATCTATTATTGTGATAATAGTAGACAATTTTCTTTTCAATGGGAGATTCAGCGTTATGTGAGAATTTGAATGTAAAAACATGACAAAAAAAAACAAAGCATCCAAGTGACGTTAACCTCACATTGGATTTGACAAAAGTGCAACTATTTTTGAGGTGAAGCTTAATAATATGCTATACACATTTTATGATGGTCAATTTTGATAAAGTAAAGATATATCCCATATTCCTTCCTGAAAGATACAAATTTTGACATTGAACTATGAAAAAGGGAAATTCAAGTTCGAAATAAAATCATTTGATGTTTATGGCAGATGTTCTAACCACGTCTTTCACATATTAGACAAATTATTGCAATGAACGAAAAAACTCGCTATTGAAAACAGATCTTGAGATGTTATTAATACAGCAGTACTGATTGTATTTATAGGCATATTGTTATCAAGGTAGCTGCCCAACTCTACAAAGTCAGTGTGAATACTTGTATGGTGAAGGTAAGACAATTTAGCAATTATTAAACAAGAAGCTTTAATAATGTAGATTCATCTGTGTGTGACCATACTTGTATATTAGACATGACTTGAGTCTATCATGTTCATACTTGTTATGTTGTATGGTACATCTGATTCAAGATTCCCGAATGCTTGCCATTTTAACCCATTACGTGCTGAAAGCAGTCACAGTCAAAAAATCAGCAGGAAATTTGTTAATTGCTAAGAATACATCAATATTCAGCATTTTTGCCATTACAAAACTCAATGTTGGCCAAGCATAGATGAACTTCATTCAATCTTGGTACATACAATTAACAGCATGATGCATTTTGGTTTGCAGATAGGATTCATAATGACCAACTGGTGGTCAATTTGTTTTAATGACTTCAATCCCAGAGCTATATCTCTGGCATGCATGCATGCTTTGATTGAATTCAAAACTTTACTCATACATTATATATCATATGTCACACATGCATTTGTTTTAATTTTAATTCAAGGTGGCCAATT